AATTTAAAACCTAACAACTCGAGTTCTATAATCAATGGAGGCATAACAGGCATGAAGCTAGTCCATACCAAGAACGACATCGAAATCTACCATGTCTATCTCATCTAAATCAACCATTGTGTTCTTTTGATTGATAGAAATGACACAATCACGATATACTCGCTCAGCTAGAATAGACTCCCTAACAGGTGTAGAAACACAAAAGGGTTCACAAAGTTTCTCAGGGAAGACATCAAAGTTCATTGCAACATAAAGGGTTACAAAAGATAAACTTGCTCTTGGGTTTAGCAAAGCATAAACATCAATGTACATGTAAGAACATGAGTAATTAGAGGAACGGGACCACAAGCTTTCTGGATAACAAAAGAAACACAAGCTTTCTGGATAAATAATATCAGGTAATAAAAAAAGAAAGGCTAGCCAAAATATTCTTTTTCTTTTAGATAGCATCTATTGCCTCTTTTATTTTTTTTATTTTTTTGAATGAGGAAGACATCTACTCTTGCAGTAACAATAGATTCACTCATGGATAGAAAAAAACATAAAAAGTTTCTCATGCAAACATAATATAATTAAATAGCAAAGAATTGAGTTTGTATAACCTTCATCAATTAATCAACTAGTTCACAACTATTGCCCCATTTTTTTAATCTTGTTGAAATACAATTAGAATTCATAAAGAAACTTACACATATTTCTTTTGCAGCTTCATTAACATATACTCTATCTTTATTTTTATGAGTAGAAATATATATTTGTTCTCGTCCAGGCCTTTGTCCAGTTTCAACCATCTACAAATAAAAAATTCATGAAATCAAAATAATTTACTACTCAAAAATGAATACATAATAAGTTAATTTACTAATCACCATTTTAGCCCTTCTCGTAGCATTCACTTTGAAGCCACCTGTGTGTAGAGTTGTTTGTTTTTTCCGATTTTCAGTATTTTTTCTATTCATTTCCATTAAAAAAATATACGAAACTTAATTAAAAAATCAAATAGTTACATGATAATAAAGACTAGTAAAAACAGTAAGATAAGTACCTTTGTTGAATCTTTATATTGGTAATCAACAAAAGAAATCCATTGATCTTGTGGAAGATCCATCTGGCATATTATCAATAATCTCAACTTTACTTTTAAGTGGGTCTTCGACTAACTTCCACAAGTTGTTCTTATTTGCTGCCCATTTCTTTCCAATAGATTTATAAATATGTTGCCACGCATTTGACTCTGTTGTCTTAAAGGAGAACTTGGGCTTCAAGAAAAAAAATTAGTTAGCTTATCTATTGCTTGTAAATATAATATTCAAATTACCAATTATCTTTCTCACCAAAAAGTAAAATAGAGTAAGAGTCTAGTTGTAAGATTATACCTTTATAATTTGATCGAAGACGCGATTTAAGTATGCCATAGGCACACTCGACCATTTCTCAAAGTTGATTGGAAATAAAGAGCAATGCTAAAATTCTACAAAAGCCTGAAAGAAGGCTGCGAGCCTCTCCAAATGGTTCATTTGGGTAATTAAAATTAACCACAATAAGTTCATCACCTGATAAATTAAGCACATCTGTTTTCTTTTTACTTTGAGCTTTTTGATATTGTTTTTTGAATCTGTAATAAAAACAAAGATAAGTTGAAGCCATGAGAGAAACAAATAATGATTATTGAATATGTACTGATACTCAAAATTATTTATCTATTGTTTCTACAGTCCAATGATTCACGCCAAATACGCTTTTTGAATGAAAGATACTCAAACTCAAAAATACTCAACTCAGTTCAATATAAAAGCAACAATGAGGATGCATTATAAAAAAAGCTTTTAAAACAATAGGTAATAACTCAATGTATTTAAAAATACAATAATAACTCTTTTACTCTTATTTGGGAGATTCTCGAACCGACAACCACATCACTATGAGCTATGTGATGATACAACGTCTCGCCCACGCTGCCAGAACTATCATATACCTTGTCGGAGTATAGGACTTCCTCAACTAAATGGATCCACTAAGCTATGCTTAAAAAAAAAGAAGGAATTATCTAAAAAAGTATGACCTTTTACCCATAGTGGCATACATGGTTTATCAGGACTTTGAGTTGTCTGAACTCGTCCCCATATCGGTGCTCAATACTACTCCCAATAATATAACTCATGCTCATATGTTTAAAAACATTTCCTCATCCTCAAAATTTGAGATTATTACTCAAAAGGTTCTCCTAAAAGAGATTATGCTAAAAAACTCCTCATGAACTCATTTGGAAATCAAGGTTTTCTCTCGTGTTAAATGTAAAGGTGTATACTCTTGGCAACACTTAGTTCCCTTATAATCATTTTGAAAAATGAAACTCGACTCTCCTCATCCTCATACTCAAGTACTCAAGTCTTAAAACAATTTTTAAAAGATTGTAAAAGACTTCTAAAAAATGACCCAAAGACTTCCTCAAATTTTACTCTTAATCTTTACTTGAATTTGAAATGTGAATTCAAGAATTATGATTTGGATATATAGGATTTCTCAATGATTTGATGAAGTTTGGATAGTTGATAAAAAGAAACGAGCAAAGACACGAATTGGGGAAACACTGGCGCGACGCGGAGAGGGATTATTAATTTTGGTCGCGTAGAGGGGTTATTCTCTGAGGACTAAGGGGTTATTAAATTCAGTCCTCAGAGAATAACCCCTCTACGCATCACAGATGTGCTTTCAATTTCACGCAATTTCACAAACCCTGAACGTTTTCAGTGAAACTCACACAAAACTCAATGAAGAGACTCAACTTTTTCACAAAAACTTCACTTCCAGGATTTCAAAGACCTTAATTATCAATTAAACTCAAGAACTTCTCAAGAACTCAATAATATAATCAACCTCAAGAATGAAATCATGGGTAAACTTATACATGATTGGCGTGAGGGCGAACAAACCCAACACTATGAAAGCTTACATACCTCGAAAGAATCGAATTCTTGGCAAAAATCCTCATAGATCGCAAGAAATCTTGAACGCTTGAAGTTTTTCTCCCTTTCCTCCTCTTGAAATTTGCCCTAACTTTACAAACGCCTTTAGATTTTAGCGTAAACTGATTTTAATCAGCTTTGACCCTTAATTTGTGTGTAAAAACGTGTGGACTTAGTGGGATAAGGAAAAAACCAAAATACCCCTCCTTAATTCGGATGAATTTCCTTAACTGGACATGCTAAACTCAAACGGACATATCTCCCTCATCCGAACTCAGAATTTAGCAAACTCAGTGTCATTGGAAAGAGGACTCAAAGATCTTTTATTTTATATCTCATGGGACACCAAAATCATCATGTACTGAAATTTATGGTCGTTTGAAGTTGACCCAAACTCATAATTGAAGACTAACTTGCACAAATCTCAAATTGGCTATTTCTAATTTAGTTCTTTCTAAAATTAGCTCTCTCTGAGACCGAGGTGTTACATGAAGAGTTTATTGTCCACTTGATAAATCTTAATGAATAAAAAGGGGTTGAAATGGAAAGGCTATGTGTTGATCATAATGCTTGTGAATTGCCTTGTTGTGACCCTTATTGATTGATTGATGAAATGTTTGATAGCATGAATGTGGACTTGAATTGCTTCAATTGTTGTCTCTTCCTTATGGTGTCAACTTGCTTATGTGCATTGATTCCATTCCAAGACTCGAAACTCCATAAGACACCGAAAGCCACTTTTTTTTATTAACTTTAGCTTTTTGAATTCAAAAACTTTCATAATTCACAACTTTTTAATCAACGCTCAAAACCCATTTCAAAATCCAATCAGGGGTAAAACTGTAATCTCACGAAAAGTTTAAAAAATGACCTTCCGGAGTATTACATTTATATTGTGAACAAATAAGAGAAGATCAAAACCCAAATATTGTTATTCATGTCTTCAAAAATATATACTGGAGATAGAAAAAAAATTGGAATGTACAACTTTGAGCCCAACAAAAAAACTGTATTTCCTTAAATAATTTAATCCTGTTACGATTATTCAAAGTTGGGATCATTCATTCCTCTCAAGTTAGAAGGTACGCTATTCTATATTATTTATAATTGAAAGCAAATCACACTGATTACTTTTACTTCTTTAAAAATGATGCACATAAGAGGAATAGAATATCGAGAAGACGAATTTTTTGAATATGTTTTGGTGTCTGAAAATTGAGGCAAAGGCTCTGACTTTATTGCCAATCAACTTTTTAAGAGTAAGAAGAATTGTTTCTAAATACCGTCAAATCTCATTATAGTGGCTACTATAGTGAGGTACTGTTGTATGTGTATATTGATATTTGATATTAAGATCTCATTTGCCTGTTATAATGAACAAAGTACACAAAAAATTAGTGTAATGAATTTGTGTACTAAGAAGAAAGATTGTACTGTATTTGTTAATCAATTTGATGAAAAAATAGAAAGAATATGAATGTATAAAAGACAAACACCAATAGTCTTTTCTCGTGAACTTGTGACCATAACTGATGGACTACATTCAAATATTGTTTTTCATATTAAATATTCATATTTAAAATTTACTATGTGCATGACATTAATAATCATTACTATAAATATTTTGATATTTTATTTTTATACATGTTTCTTATAAAATATTTGAGTATGACTGTTATAGAGAAGTAATTTTACAAAGAGTGTATCGTTATAATGAATGTCACTACTGTTATAGCTAGAATGACAACTAAAATATAACATAAAACATTAATTCTGAAGAAAATCAGGTTATTATAGTGAAATGTTATTATAATGAATAACTTTTATAACGAGGTTTGACTGTTAAATGAATATATTTTGATACCTAGGAGGCTATAGTTCTTCGTCGATCGAAGCAATTATATTAGGCCACTTGTAAATGAAAATGAAAACTACAAACCTATTTTATTTTTTTTAGCTCCTCATTTGATGTTTGATACTTATATTGAAGTCTGACTAATCTGAATTACATATATAAATTCTCAAGATCCAAAATTTCTATAACTCAAATTTGTAAATCATATATTACAAATCAGATTTATTACAAAATAACACAACAGAAAATTTAAATACAAGTCAGTAGCAACAAACATTTATTTTCACAAGAACACTCAGTATTACAAGGAAATATAAAACTATTTGGAGGGATTAGTTCCAATGGTTATAACATAAAACTTCTGTGAAGCATTTCTTTATTAGTATACTATTATATGTGTAGTTATTAATCCTTCTTCTGAATAATTACTTCTTGGATAATTAATCCTCCTTTCCATTTTCCACTCCAAACTTCATAAAGCCCAAAACAAAGCTTGCTATCTTCATATGGAGAATCAGTTGTTGTAATGGTAAGATTATTTGGTACAAGATATGATCCATTTGATTCAACATTAGCATCTTTTGTTAAATAAATTTTCTTCCATAAGTTTTTTGATCCAGATTTGACCATAAAATAGAGGGGTAACTCATTAAATCCAAATGAATCTGGTGTCAATTTCACCTTGAACTTAACTTCATATTTTGTGCCTTTTTCTACTTTGTCACACCACCCTGTTACCTCTAGCCAACTTACTTGTACAAGTGTTGCTGCCTCTTTCCTGTTCATTATCAAATACAACATTAGGTCACTTATCTCAATGTCCATCTAACAATTATCTTATAAAAATGGTATCCGATTTGACTATTCCATCAGATACCTACTATTTCCTACCACACTGTAACAAAAATAGTTTTTAGCAGCAATAAATATACGCATAAGAAAAGAGTGTTAAATCATTTAACGACATTAATTAATTGTCATTGGATCCAATATCATTATAAACTTTAGGGACATTTACAAAAAGTGTTAATTAATTGCCTCTAAAAACATATTTAACGGCAATTAAGCCATTGCCGCTAAAGATATTTTTGGTGTAGTTGCATTACAATTTTCACAAGAAGATTCAAATAATTTATATAAGCAACAAAACGAATTATTCTTAACCTATTTGAAAGTATAACAAAACAAAATATTCAGTGCCAAAATTATAATTACTCAATCTCCATAAGAATTCACTCTGATTATATGAATATATAGAAAGTGTGGCATGTATTTAAATAATAAATATATACTAACTCTTGGGGTAATTTCCAATATCGTTCATCCTTTCCCCAAACGATATTAAAGGCTGCAGGATAAATTTTGAACTGCAAGTATGACAATTAAATATGTCAGAACATTACATTAATTTGACTAGACTAAGTTTGAAATAAAAAAAATGAAGATCAAATTAACTAAACGTACCACGGTCCCTTTTTCTAATTCCTCAGAGATATGATTTCCTTCATAGTGTGAGTTTGAATACTCCATGTTGAATTATAAATATTTGAGTTTTATTATTTGCCTACAACCACACATATGTATTTATAGAGTATAACTTGAAAGCTAGAGTTGGCTTGGCAAGGTTAACTTTTTAAAGTTAAATGCCACCTTTACTCTACGTAAGAACGCAATGGAATCTCTCGAACCCTTAAATATCAAAAGTCTTAGATTTCAACTTTTTCAAATAAATTGTCTGGCTCATGTGGTGTGAATATGGATTAGTCAGGTCGGTTTGATTTGGAATTGCGAAAGGTTAAAATTAAAAAGAATATGGAATCAAGTAAAGGAGTAAGACATGATATGGGGATGGAAAGGGAAATTCTTCTTTTAATTTGTGCTTGAATTGCAAGCTTCGCTCACAATCTTTAATATTCTCACACGCTAAGTATCGTACGTACCATTTATATTACTATAAGAGAATGTCTTCAATATTTCTTTCATTTTCATCACTTTTACTAACCATTATTTACTTGGGTTGTGGTTAACCAATTAATCATCCAGGAGGGAAGTACAAGGTATATATATTACGTTTCCGTTTGACCATCAGAATTATTCACTTATTTTCATAAAATACTTTTTTACCGATTTTCCAACTCCACCATCACAACATATAAATAAACTGCTGTGATCTTTTCTCTCCTTTGTTAAAAATATAACAAAAACTACATATTCAATTCGAAGTACAAATTAAATATTTGAAATATATTGCCAAATACTTACTTTAATTTGTCTTTAAAATTCACATGCACCGAGTAAAACTCCATTAGCGTATACGTAATGCATGTTACGCTTAGCACCTAATAGAGCAAAGGATTCGAAAGTGCATCTTAATATATATGTTGCCTTTTTGTTTATATTTTTTTTTTTCAAAAATATAGAATTATATTTAGGCCTTAGGGATAGCGTCACGGTACCTTGATTTTAGGGTAGAATGAGTAATTAGTTTAGTCAAACTAAATATAAAACTTATCCTAAAATATGCATGCTTCATATTTTACGAAGTCATTTGAGTAAAGTTTCCAATAAGCACGGTGTACTTTTAATTGTCGTGATTTTTTTTATAGTTAAACTATAATAATTTTGACTAACGTTTTATGATGTATTCTTTTATTATTTAGATATGCAAAAAATTGTAATTTATAGTACTTTTCGTATAATTTTTTAATATCTAATTTTTTTTTGTTTAAAATATCGAATTAATTTGATCTAATTTAACTTTGAGAATTAGACATACTGACTTTAGAAAAACACAACATGACAATTAAAAGTAGACGGAAGGAGTATATATATATATATATATATATATATATATATATTCTAAGTAGAAAGGGAAATTAATACTTCAAACAAGATAGGTACAATCTTGGAGGTATGTTGTCAAGAAAAGAATATTTATTTTAAGAGGTCCACGTGAGAACTCCAAAAAAGGAGATAAGAGATGAGATCAACATACAATGGCATAGAAGCATTTGTGTGTCTAGCAAGTTGTAAATAAATCTTATCTTAGGCATACTTTTCTAAAGAAGAAAAAAAGTGGCAAACAACCAAAATCATTCTAGCTACTTCTTATCCCCCACTTTCTTCCAACCAAGTTGTCAAAATTCCTCTAATGTTAATTACTTTATTCTCTAAGAAGAATCCATGTAATTATAATGCCTTTAATGTCGAAAGAAAATAGTGAATTTATGTTCTTTTCATATTTTGAAGCATGCATGTATACACACGTAATTAGGGTAGTAACTGAATATTCATCACTAAAATATCGATCGATCGACTCCACTATAAGAATAACATCGTACCAAGCCTTGTAAGTGCCCGGAGGAAAAGTCAACAATTGACATCTTAGCACAATCAACTCTTGAGAAGTCACTCCTTATAAAAACAACAAAATAACCATACGTTGAATTTCCTATACTAAATTCTTGTATTTCTCTCTAGCGTTATGTTAGTCTGCACAACCTAGAAATATAGTGATTTTAACTTTTCGCCTAAGTGTGAAACGCATTGCCTAACGTGTTCCAGCAAAGCAGTAAGGACGGTAAGTAAAAACACAATATTTTTCGGTGGAAAACACCCAACTCAAAAGGTGTAAAAAATCACGACATGTACCCCTACAGGATTTAACTTCAACTTCACTAAATCACTGAGTCTCCACAGAAAACAGATTACAAGCCTATGTAACCTAAGGAATTACGAACTATAATTCCCAAACTTCAACACAAACCTCTCAAGATATGTGTTCTCAACTCTTCGAGTTATCACAACCTAAAGACAACACACCTAATTCAGTTTATAACTCACTGAACTAAGATTACATCAAGACTTGATCACAAAGAAAAACTCCCAACACATAAACTCTGTAAAAGAACCAGGTTCTTCGATGTGTTCCTTCAGTTTGCTGGTAGCACTTGCGAAGTCAAATTTTCAATTGCTCTTTTTTCTCTGTAAGTGCACAAGTATTCTAGACGACTTCACCTCTATTTAAGCATAATTCTTCATAGAGTTATTGTTCACTTCAAACTCCTCATTGACTTGAACTCTTTTGACTTAGAGTTCTACTTCAAGTAAGACTCCTTCTTCAATTCAAACTCCTTGCTTCTTTAGACTCCTTCTTCAAATTACATTCATTGATTCTTTTGTATTGTAGTCGAACTACAACTCTTCAATTCAATAGTAACTTGAAGAGTTCTACTTCAAGTAAGACTCCTTCTTCAAGTAAAATTCCTTACCTCTTTAGACTCCTTCTTCAAATCAAACTCATTGATTATTTTTCTTCAATTCATTACTAGTTTGATTCCTTGCGTTTTGTACGAAATTATCATTATCCATTTCTTTATTTCTGCACTCTTGTCTTTATTTATTTTAAAAGTTTTCCCGAATTCAACTGCTCGTGATAGTGTACCTTTGGACCATGTTAACTGACGTGTTTCATCTTTCTTTGTCAATCATCAAAACTGCATAAATTCTAATAAATTCCCCCTTTTTGATGATGACAAACCTCTTGTTTTGTGCATTCAAACACATTTTCCTGTAGACAATTAGCATGAAACACTAGAATGAAACAAGTTAGTCAATGAGCTATAAACACTGACTCTTATCCCACTATTTGTTCATCATCCTTAAGCACTCATCAAACTTGTTCGGGATAGATCGAATAAATTATTAGAACCAGACCAACACAAACTATATTAACATAAGTTATTTCATTCAGTCAATTTATATATATATATATATATATATATATATATATATATATATACTAGTAGCAGGACCGGCTCGACTATAAAGTCACGGCCCTTTAAAGTTGTATGCATAATCTCAATTAAAACTAGTATCATGACCGGCTCGACTATAAAGTTGTATGCAATTTGTGGTGATGGCTTAAGTCCATTTCTTACTAACTTAGCACGAATAACATTTTGGCTTCTTAGTTATGTCGTGCCTTGTAATACATGACCCCTTTTAAGTAGTTTCAAAACATTGTAGTCTAATTATAAATAACAAGTTATACACAATAGTAACGGACTTCTTGGGTAGTTGTGTGGTGTTGTTCATATCGTCTCCTCTTCTCCCCAACCTATGAATACAACCAATGAAAATTTCATTAGCTTCATGTCATGTTTATGTTTTTTCCAGTTTGATTATTTCCCACTTGTTATTTATTGTATTTCACCTAATGTTCTCTTGTAGACGATATTTCTTGCGTATGTCCCTATCTTCCAATTTGGAGGTTGTTCAGTCATAAACAATGGATTCGTTGTGACCGTTGATATTCTTCTTGAAAGTATTATATATAATTGGCCATGTAAGAAAACATGTAGTGATAGGTACAATCAAACATTTGATAATATTAATTTGACCTTGTTGGAGGGAAGTTGTTTGTAGTAACCAAGCTTGTTCTAAGTGTGAAGTGTTATCACTAGCCAAAGTACCGCTATTGTAGATAAATATGGTCTTATTTTTGTGTATAGAGGAACTTGGGAAAATTAAATGGTTATTAAGCAAATATATACTAGTTAATTAGTCATCATAGCTATAGTTTTAGTTAGTTATCACTCGCGACCAATATTCAGAGATAATTATTTTGAGTTTGTATAATTCACACATTTGTATAAATAAAAATTTGTATTATATAATATGTATAACTTTTGTGTAATATAATTTGTATAACTGTTTAAAGTTCAAATCTTTGTATTTGTATAAATTCGTTATTTTGAGTTTATACAAAAAAAACTCAATTATACAAATATACCCGTGAATTATACAAACTCACCCGCGGATTATACAAACGAGACATTTTTCGTAAGTATGAAACTATAGCTATGGAGCATAATTAAGTATATTATAATGGCTATTTGCGAAAATTCCCCTAGGAAATTTCCCACCTAATTAGAGAACATGTATTGGGCTAGCTTGTTTTTGTGAAGGCCCAATGAAGTTTATATTCTAAAGGACCAATCTTGGCAACTTAAGCCTAAAAATATATTGGCATTCTTAGCCAATCTTGTATCCATTCTCTAAAGTGAAAATTTCATATATGATATATATTACTCTAATATTTTCAAGTTATAGCACTAGAATTAAATTTTCAAGTTGTAACAATAAAAAATTTCAAGTCGTAACAGTTTCTTAAAAAAAAAGCTTTTTTTAAATAATTGTAAAAATTTGTTTTGAAAAAAATAAAAACATAAAAAAATAAAATAATTTGTTTCTGAAAAAAAGAGAGGTAAAAATAGGGAAATAAGTGTGTTAATTAAATTTGAATTGATTGAAGATAATTACTAATTAGCATAAATTAAGGAAATTCAAACTAATTAAAAATATTTAGTTTCCTTATTTCACTCTAATTTGTTAAAATTAATTTAAAATTCTGATTTCATCCATTTTCTTCCACGTTTCTCTCTCTTCGATTTTTTTTCCAGAAATCTTGTCACTCTCATCTAATTCATATTCGTTTTTATTCAATAATCTTTATTTTCTGGACGGCT